CCATCACCCGCTATCTTCAACATTCACATCAAAGTTTTCATCGTAAAGAAACAAACTTTCTTCTGCAGTCGGAGAAATGCATATTTCAGAGGTTTATTCATGTTTTGGGTAATCTTTGTTATATATCTAGGATAGAACTAGGATAGAACTAGGATAGAACTAGGATAGAACTATGATAGAACTAGGATAGAACTAGGATAGAAATAGGATAGAACTAGGGTAGAACTAGGATAAAACTAGGATAGAACTAGGATAGAACTGGGATAGAACTAGGATAGAACTAGGATAGAACTAGGATAGAAATAGGATAGAACTAGGATAGAGATAGGATAGAACTTGGATAGAACTGGGATAGAACTAGGATAGAACTTGGATAGAACTGGGATAGAACTAGGATAGAAATAGGATAGAACTAGAATAGAAATAGAATAGAACTAGGATAGAACGGGGATAGATCTAGGATAGAACTAGGGTAACACTAGGATAAAACTAGGTTAGAACTAGGATAGAACTAGGATAGAACTAAAATAAAAATAGGATAGAACCAGGATAGAACTAGGATAGAACTAGGAAATAACTAAGATAGAACTAGGATAGAACGAGGATAAAACAAGGATAGAACAAAGATAGAACTAGAATAGAACTAGGAGTGAACAAAGATAGAACTAGTATAGAACAAAGATAGAAATAGGATAGAACAAAGATAGAATTAGGATAGAACTAGGGTAGAACACAGATAGAACACAGATAGAACTAGAATAGATCAAAGGATATAGAAACTAGGAATTTTTAAATAAGGAAAGAACGTGATTCGACATTTTAATAAGTTGGCATTAAAATGATATTCGATAATGCGTTCCAGCACATTTTTACTCTAAATATTGGCAATTCTTCTTCTTTGAATATTCTATTTTGTGAAATTTCGTTTCTTTGTACAGATATTCCAAGATGGCACGGAGAGTTAAAAGAAACTGATTTCTAATTTTTTTTTGACGCAATATTTTTATGTTTTTAAATTTTAAACTTCATGAGAAAAATCATGAAACCTGATAATTTATATTTATTAAGACCCGATGTATCGTACAGACGATCCCCTCCATGTTTAATTTACACTCACAGGGCGTGATCAATTCTTCCGGATGATCTCAATTTTCATAATTATTCTGGAAATCAAAGAAAAGTCCCGAAAGGATTGATTAAGAAATCCTCGAATAAACTAGTTCTGATGAGGTTCAAATGCGTACTGCAATTAGATGAAAACACACTCCGCTCACTCCCCCCTGGGGATTTTTCGTTGAACCGTTTAAAAGTCAGAAGTCATGATTTTTGTCACGAAGAATTAATTCCCATGAACTGTTTCTGAATAAGAAACCTGGAACATAAAAGATTTTAGAAATATTTGGATGAAGTTTGTTTCCTGCTTCTACCAACTAAATATTGAAACAAAAACAGAATTTTCTTTCAAACTGTCAAAGTTTCTACAAATTTTTTGTCCAACAATTATTTATTGCATTCCCCCTCCCCCCCCCCTTTCGCACTTAGTCTAGATTGGTTTTGATTGTTTTTATCCCTAAAGAATAGATAATATATTGACAATAGCAGAACTAACAATTCAAAACTTGGAACTTTTTGTTGATTTTGATAAAACAAACTTATTCTTGGCAACTAGGGGGACATTTAGATACACAGGAGTGTAGGTAGGAGGAATACATAGGAGTATAGATAGGAGGAATGCATAGGAGTATAGATAGGAGGAATACATAGGAGTATAGATAGGAGGAATAAATAGGAGTATAGATAGGAGGAATACATAGGAGTATAAATAGGAGGAATACATAGGAGGAATACATAGGAGTATAGATAGGAGGAATACATAGGAGTATAGGTAGGAGGAATACATAGGAGGAATACATTGGAGGAATACATAGGAGGATAGGTGGAAGGAATACGTAGGAATATTGTTAAGAGGAATACATAAAAGTATAGGAAAGAGGAATAAATAACATAGGATAAAATGTCAATTTTAAGAGAGACAAACGAATGTATTTCAGTCTTCATTGCTTTTAACAAAAACTTATAATTGAAGATAAATCGTTTTTGTTAAATGAGGTAACTATTAATTTTATTGTGTATTTTTAAAATCATTTTAAGGGACTGTTGGTAGAAATAAATGATGGATATTTCTGAGGATTAATGGTGTTTTCTTAAACTTCAAATAGTGGATATCTAGAGCATTAAATTTAGGTTTTTAGATTCTGGATGTCCAGAGCAATATATTTGTATTGTGGATATACACCAATAAATTAGAATTCTGGATATCTAGAGTAATATTTTCGTATTCTGGATATCTAGATCAAAATATTCGAATTCTGGATATTTAGAGCAATATACTCGGATTCTGGAAATCAAGAGCAATGTATTCTAATTGTGGATATCTAGATCGTTACATTCTAATTATGGATATCTAGAGAAATATATTTGGATTGTGGATATAGATTAATATATTCGGATTCTGGATATCTAGAGCAATGCATTCTGATTGTGAATATCCCAAATAATACATTCGGAATCAAACCTTTGATTTTAATTATCTAATGGCAAAAATTTCTGACTCAGATTTGACTCACCTTTGAGGAATAATTCTTTGGAGTCCTCTATAAACTAAACATATTTGGAGTCCTATATAAACTAAACATGTTTGGAGTCCTCTATAAACTAAACATATTTGGAGTCCTCTATAAACTAAACATGTCTTTAATTGACAAGATCGATAGTTTATGAATTATTGCCCAGTTCTCCTTAGTTTTAACCGTCTTGATTTTATGAACCTAGTTAATTTACATTGAATTACCGACCCGGCTCAAACCTTTTTCTATCTCAAGCCTAATTTCACCGGTTGTCACATAGGTTCCGAATTTCTCGTAAAATTTAAAGAATTTAAACGAATTTACGAGTATAATTCAGAACACCCCGGAGCTTAAGAAATCTTTAAAAATACCTCAGACCTAAATCAGAGAGATGGGGGAGGGGGGGGTAGTTTTAAACCATTTTATAAAGTTAATTGTTTTAGGGGCCATATTCTGTTTTTTAATACCAATATCAATACATGTCATAAAATTTCAACAATTGATTAAAAATGTACAAAGGAAATGAAGACTCGTCTCAAACTCTATTTTACTTATACTTGTAAAATAACAAAGGTCTACGTCATCAAGTTAAAAAAATAGGAATTAAAATTTATAATTTAAAGGCAAATGTTTCTTTGTAGACTATTTTTGTAAATTTTTTACATTAGATCATTATATTATATTCAGAAAATGAAACTGATAACCCTGATTTACATTATTATATTATATTCAGAAATTAAAACTTATAACCCTGATTTACATTATTATATTATATTGAGAAAATAAAACTTACAACCCTGATTTAGATTATTATATTATATTCAGAAAATAAAACTTATAACCCTGATTTTCTCAGTTTAATCCTTTTTCTCATTTGGAGGTAATCTTATTTTGTTTAGTTATTTTTTGGACAAAATAAACTTGAATATTATATTTTATCAAGCTTCTATCTCTCTATCTTTCTATTTATCTATCTATCTATTTTTATATATTGCCTCTCGCTTTTTACTTCTTACTTATTTCTCCTCAAATTTTAATCAAAGAGAAAATAGGAATTTTTTCTTGAAAAAAAACTAAATGTTATTTTTCTAGAAATATTTTGTAATTTTACAAAAATAAATTTATATGAAAAATCTTAAATTGTAAATTAGACTGTTAAAACCATTGTTTATGTATACAATAAAAACAATTTAAAAGTAAAAATGGTCTAGACGATTTAATTTACTGTAAAAGGAATTGAGTTTTTGCCACAAACTCAATATCTTGGCAACCTATAGGTGTAAACCTTTAATATTTAAATCTTGGCTTATTTGATCTATAAGAACTCATAGTTTGAAATATCAAAAGTCTCCTACAAGATTTTTAATTTTTAATTTCTTGAACCTCTGCCTTTGATTCATGATAGGGTTAGAGATACAATATGAAAAGTCATTATTTCTCCAGGTCCCTATGTTAACCCTCCTTAACTTGTTTGTTTATCCGTCCTTACTCCAACATAAAGAAACCCTTGATGGCTGATAGTATCCATATATATTCATGTATTATAAACAAAATAAGAAAACAAAGTACTTTGTAACAAACAATCGGTAGAAAATGGTAATTTCTTAACAAATAAACTAAACAAAGACAAAGAAGAAAGGAGAAGATAAAGGAGGAGGGGTCTAAAGGAGGAGGGGTATACAGGAGGAGTGGTATAAAGGAGGAGGGGTATAAAGGAGTGAGTGGTATGAAGGAGGAGGGGTATAAAGGAGGAGGAGGGTTGTTAGGGAGGAGTATCGGGGTCGATGCCTAATCATTTGTGTATATCTGACCTTATATAAAGTATTATGGGTCAAAATTACAGTTTTTGAAACCTATTCGTGTTATTTTTGCCCCATGTTTAACCATTACTCTCACCAGTTTGTGAAACTATGATAAATATACTTAAATTACACAGTACACATAAACCCAACTGTTCCCAACCCTATTCTATACTTGAGAACGGTATCTCGCAAGTTTAATGAAAATATTCTAAAAAATATATTCATATATATCATTATTGTCTAGAAATTGTTTTATACATTCATCTTAGACACCGAGGTAAGGTATTGTTGGAGTAAAGTTGTTAAGTTTTGTTCAAAGTCCCCTAGTAAAAAATAACCTAGTGGCGATCCCTCCTCCCCCCCCCCCTAATAGGGGGAGATGGTAAAATGAGTTAGAATAGAGGCTAGAGATGGTAAGATGAGTTGCTATGGCGCAAAAAGATTAAGGGGGGGGAGTGGGAGGGGGGGGGAGCTCGAACTGTAGAATTAAAAACTAAAGATTTAAATCTATAGAATGAAGAAAAAACGTGATTTCTTCATTTAACAATTAGAATATATTTAGGAATACTAAAACGAATAAATATTTTAAAAGGTAAAAATTGAATTTTTTAAACTCTACAATATATTTTATAGGTCTAAGATCGGGGATGTTTGCAAAACTTTGCCAATTTATTTATTGCGAAAATGAGCACCCAAAGTTTGCAAAATAGTACGTTGTAATTTTGGCAACAGTGTGCAGAAAATTATAGTCAAAACAAACTAAACTCGAATTTTGCACTGTCTGACCATTTACAAATGAAAACTTTGGGAGTTCTCAACTTTCTAATTTCTAAATTTATAATTTAAAATTTGTTGTTTCAAAGCTTTTATTCACCGATCTTTGGCCTGTGTTTATGTGCAAGATAGGGCAGTATTCACGACTGTAAATATTTGATATAAAATTATCTATTTATGAAAACATTTAAAATATCTCTATATGTATGTATTTGTAGGGAAGGTGGAGGAAGGTTGGCTTGTTGAGCACCAATAGTTTGATCCACAAATGATTCCAATTTCCAAATATAATTTGTTAAATTTTTTCATGCTGCAAGAGCCGGAGGATATAAGTATAAAAAGATGGTAGATACATCACACAAGAACCGATGGAAACTTTAAAGGGACTGTGCTGGATTCTAAAGACGAATTAAGTTTTCCATCCAGTCAAATTCGTTCTTGACTCCGATTCCTGTCAACATCTCCGACATTTCTCCGGAAAACTCAAAGTGAGGATATCCAGAGTTACCGGAGCCAACTTCCCAGGGTTCCAGGGTTCGAAGTCCCTGCTCCGGGACCTCAAGTAGGTCTGTGATATCCTGGAGTTCGAAGAGTTCGTCCTCCTGCTTGAGCTCTAGCTCCGGGAGGTAGGTAGAGTATGGGGGCTCCTTGAGATTCGATTGTGGTTCAGTTTTCAGACTTAGACTCTCTTGTTTGATCATCTCCCATTTCTCCGGGTTGGTAGAATGGTACTGGGACAGGTTTGATTGTAGTTGGTTGTGTTGGGTTAGCTCTAGATATTGCTGGCTGCTAGCTGATGAAGTTTTACGATCGAATTTTAGTAGAACCTGGTTCGGTTCACCGGATTTATTGCTCCGTGAATATTTATCACTTTCTTCGTAAATGGAGTGAGGGTCGAACCCAGCAGGACTTAGGCAGGGGGGGCTCAGGGGCACTCTTACCCCTCCAGGAGACCAGGAGGGGGCTCTAGATAGATCAGGGGAGTAGGAGGGGGTCAGAGATATCTCGGACGTAAAGGAGGGGGTTCGAGATATTTGAGAACTGAAGGAGGGTTGACTAGGAGGGGAAGAGGAAGAAGAGGAGGAGGAGGAGGAAGAAGATACCCAAACCAAATTCTGTGTTGAAACTTGGAGAATATCTGGGCCGCAAGGAGTAGGTTCAGGAGAGTCTGTAAGACGGATATACTCCGGGCTCAATTGTTCCTCTGAAGCTAAGAAGGAGGAAGGACTAGTAGCTCCGGATTGATAAAAATCTATCTCGTAAATAATTTCCTCCTTGGTCTCCTCCTTCAGTAGAGAGGACACGCTCTTCTTGTTGTTGTTTAGTTTCCTCAGCTTGTTCAAGGAGAAGGATGGTTTAGAGGAGATGGTTGGTTGAGCTCGTGATGGTTTTGGTTTAACTACATTCACAACCTTTCCCTTCTTCTTTGGTTTATACTTGTAATCTGGATACTCCTTCTGATGGAGTAATCTTAACCTCTCAGCCTCATCTATGAAGGGTTGTCTCTCCTCCTCGGAGAGGGTTCTCCAGGTTTTCCCCAGGTTCTTGGATATCTCAGCATTATGAGAATCTGGGTTCCTGTTTATAATCTTCCTTCTCTCCAGCTGGGACCAAACCATGAACGCATTCATCGGTCTCTTCACGTAGTTCTTCTTGTGCTTCTTCGTCTGAAATATAAAAAAAATAATATTGCGATCATGTACAACAGCTACAAAGATTAAGAAGTGCGAAAAAAAAGGATGTACAAATTTTAATTCTAAAAGACGATTTAGGAATATAAGGAAGGGGTGATGTTTTAGGGGGAGAAATATGCTGGATTTAATGAAGGAGGGATGTAACAGATTAGGAGTGCAAATGAGGAGGAGTGCAAAGGAGGAGGGGTATAAAGGAGGAGGGACGTAAAGGAGGAGGGGTATAAGAAGGAGGGTTATAAATCCTTCCTTACCCTTATCAAACCCCTTCCACCTTCCTCGATCCATAATTCACCCCTTTCCTCAACCTTCCTCAACCCTTTCCTCCCATTATCCCCCCTTTAACCTTCCTCTACGCATCCTTAATATTATCCTCCCCTTCCACCTTACCCAATCCTTCCTTGCCCCTAATTCCCCTTCCACCTTCTTCACCCTTATCCCACCTCCTTTCCCCTTAATCAACCCTTTATTCACCCTTATCTCCTTATCTCAACCCCTTTCCCCTTCCTCAATCCTTTATTAACCCTTATCTCAACCCCTTTCCCCTTCCTCAACCCTTTCTTATAATTATCCTTCGACCTTAACTCTTACTACCCTTATCCCACCTAACACAACCCTTACTTACCCTTATCCACCATTCCGCCTTCCTTAATCCTCTCTTTTCCTTATCGCACCATCTTCTTGCACCCTTTCTTACCCTTACCTCACCCCCTTCCACATTCCTTAACCCTTTGTTTTTCTTGTGTGCCCCCTGCTCCCTGGCTGGGTTGTGAAGACAAGTTGCAGATTAATAACATAAACATACTAATTAAACTTTATCCAGGGACTCAGGAGGATAATTCTAAACATAAAGAGGGAAAGGAGAAAGAGGGAAAGAGGGAAAGAAGAAAGAGGGAAAGAAGAAAGAGGAAAAGGAGAAAGAGGGAAAGGAGAAAGAGGGAAAGGAGAAAGAGAGAAAGGAGAAAGAGGGAAAGGAGAAAGAGAGAAAGGAGAAAGAAGAAAAGGAGAAAGAGGGAAAGGAGAAAGAGAGAAAGAAGAAAGAGGGAAAGAAGAAAGAGGGAAAGGAAAGAGAAATATGAAAGGTGGTAAAGTCGATTGACTAAAGTAATTAATGTCGGAAAGAAGAAAATAATGTAATAATAGTACATCATTTTTATATATTTCATTTTTGGTGTAAAGTTTTTTATTCCCTATTAATAGCAGTGTTGAGATAAGACAATTAAGAGAATTATTTACAAATATCAAAATTACTAGTTGTTAAAGAAATATACCAGAATTATAATAAAACATGCCATTGCTTTTTCTATATATACTGATCCATTAAACACATTTTTTATTCAAATTTTCAACTTTTTAAAATATTTGTTATCAATTTATTATTTGTTTTGACAGTGGAGCTGAATGATGAGGGTTTGGGGATCCTAACATTAAACATTTAAATCTTTAAAAATAGATTTAAGTAAGAAAATAAAATATCTGTATATTTTGGAATATTTAATCTTGAAGTACGGATCAAATATTTCTCTACAAGATTTAAATTTGAATAATTAGATTTTCATTTTATCATCTCAGTTCAACATTTTCTTTTATCTTAAGATTTGTTCCTCTTCTCTTAGATCTTATTTATCTATTTACCTTCCCTTTAGATCTTATTTATCTATTTACATTCCTATTCACCTTCCCTTTAGATCTTATTTATCTATTTACCTTCCCTTTAGATCTTATTTATCTATTTACCTTCCCTTTAGATCTTATTTATTTATTTACCTTCCCTTTAGATCTTAATTATTTATTTACCTTCCTATTTCGATAGATTTTTGATCTTATTTATCTAATTACCTTCCTATTTCAATAGATTTAGATCTTAATTATCTATTTACCTAGCTTCCTATTTCAATAGATTTAGATCTTATTTATCTATTTACCTTCCTATTTCAATAAATCCCTTTCTAGAACTTTAAAACAAATATTTGCAAAAATTGTTGATTTTTCTGCATTTTTTCTTTTAACAATCTTTCTTTAATTTTTTTTCTTTGTCCTACAGTAATTTCATATAGCCCTCCCCCCCCCCCCCCTGCTGGAATCCTCTATTACCCCATCCAACCTTTCATCCATGTCTGATCTGATAATTCTCTCGTGTTTTAAGCTTCCTACAGTAATTTCTCACTCAACTTTTTATCATCCCCCACCCCCCATAACCTGTAATTTCTATACCACCCTCAAACCCTCTCCCCCCCTTTTCCTCCTATAATTTCTACTCAAGATTATAAAAGAAAGGGTTCTGAGTTTGGTTAAGAAATTCAAGTATACACACATGACTTAGTTAATATTATAATTAGGAGTTCTTTTATCTAACTTTCACGTCCATCTCATTATTCTCCTCTTTTTCATATTTTCTGTTACTTTAATCCTTGTTCTATCCGTCCTTCTCATTAATCTCCTCTTTTTCATATTTTCTGCTCCTTTAATCCTTGTTCTATTATCTCCGTCCTTCTAATTCTTGTTCTCTCCGTCATTCTAATTATTGTTTTCTCTGTTCTTCTAGTTCTTGTTTATCCCCATCCTTCTGATCCTTCTTATCTCCGTCCTTCTAATTCTTAATCTTCCCGTCCTTCTAATTCTTGTTATCTCCGTCCTTCTAAGTCTTGTTCTCTCCGTCCTTCTAATCCTTGTTATTTCCGTTCTTCTAATTCTTGTTCTCTCCGTCCTTCTAATTCTTGTTATCTCCGTCCTTCTAATTCTTGTTCTCTCCGTCCTTCTAATCCTTGTTATCTCCATCCTTCTAAACCTTGTTCTCTCCGTCCTTCTAATTCTTGTTCTCTACGTCCTTCTAATCCTTGTTATCTCCGTCCTTCTAATTCTTGTTCTCTCCGTCCTTCTAAATCCTAAATCTTCTAGTTACTCGTAACATATGTTCCTGTTACTGCTTTCCTTTTGGTTCTATTCCATCCCTCTTTAGAACTTTATCACATTTCCCTACTTTCTCTGTATCTTCTAATTAAACCGAGTACAATACAATACAATATAATATGTGTGTGTATTTATATTCTTCTCTGTGTTCAACCTTATTCTAACTCTTTTCTTACCAACTTCATATTTTGATATCTTGATACAACCTGTTCATATACATTTATGACTTTTCATTGATCTAAAAGACTTCATAGCTTGAAACATCAAAGGTTACGACATCGAGTTGCTATTATATTGGGATTGAAAAATCACAGTTTGTGGCAAAAACTCAGTCCCTGTAATGTTTTTTTTTTTTACTTTTTAGAGGCTTCACAAGAATTAGAAATGTTCATAATGTTTCAAATTTATATCCTTTATAATCTGCTTTATTTCTCTATGCAAAATCAAAAGATGTGAGCCAAACGATTTAAGCCAAGTTTTCAATTTTGTTTTCTCAAAAGTATAAATTGACTTCCGGGTTTACGCTGCACACACACAAAAACTAGTAAAATACGCTAGAAAAAAAAATTCCTCTTTGTGACTCATATAAAAAGTTTTAAAGTGTACTGATGTGAATTGGAAAGGACTGTTTTTAAATTCAGGGTCACTTAAAATCAAGCACACATTCCCTTTGAAAAGAAAATAGAATTAAAGCAAAGTAAAAGCCGCCCTAAAGGAACAGTTTAAAATATATTTTACTATTTCGTGATACTTGCGTATTTGTGTCATGTACACAAATAATTTGCAATTCTAACAAAGAACCGTGCAAAAAAGTGGCCAATAATCCAAACAGTTCAATAGAAAGAATAATATATTACCATGGCCGGAGGACAAGCAAAAAACATTTATAACACCTGATATATAAATTATATTTGCATAAATACATTAATAATCTAATAAAGAATGTACAGTACTTTTAACATATTATTACGCTATGAAATTTGTATCCATTAAATACCAATAAATTGTGCAAATATTTTCAAAAGAAATCCTAGTCGTTACATAAAAGCTTAAGTACCGGCTTTGTTGTAAACTTTATGTCCGCCATTTTAAATTAAAATTCAGCCATTTTGAATCAGACAATTTGAAATTCAAACGTTTGTTAGACCAATGACTAAACATAAAAGTTTCCAGAATATTTATATTAAGAAAGTTCCAGAAATGTTTTAAAGGAAAAATTGAAAAAATACAAAATTTTCTCTAAATGTTTGTTAATTTAAGATATTTTAGATATTTAAATCTTATTTAAAAGATAGAATACTAAGTGGTTTTGAATTCGCCTGGGACTGAGAAATCATTCTTTCAAGAATTAACTCGAGTTTTCTCATTAAAATAATTTCAGATTAAAGTCAAGTCACTGAGTATCTAACTCAATATATCCCATTCTATTCTAAGCATAATGAGATTTTAGAATAAAGTTGTTCTGAGTAAACTTTGGAAGTTAGGACAAAGTTTGAAAGTCAGACTTGAAAGTAAATATTAAGTATTGAAACTAAAGTTGGAATGTATAGTTTAAATATAACAATTAGAGATGGTTTAAAGGGAGTGTAGGCAATATATTCATTAGAAAATTGACAGGATCAGTTAAGTTCAGAACTTAACGGATTATTGGTATGGTTTACTATGATTAAGAAATGAGTTTGGTTTAGATGTGCAAGGATAAAGATAAAGTGGTTTATATGATCTGATGATACGTAATTTCAAGTAACGCTTTTATTTATTGAGTTCTTGTCTGATTTACAACTGAACCCTTTAAACCTATGTCTAATCAAGGATGAACAAAATATCCCTTTTTTTAGCCGAAAATTGATAATGTGCAAATTGAGGTTTCTATATATAGTTAACTTAATTTACTTTACATTCTCTCTTTAGAGAATGATAAAATAAATATGTGTATTGCAAAGAATAAGTAAGGTTTAAAATGATTAAGGAATGAGTAAGGTTTAGATAAGGGATAAGTATGGGTTACCATAAATAAGAAATGAGTATATTTTAAAAGTGTAATGCTTAGGATATGTAAGGTGTAC